GACTTAAGTAGTTTCCACAACTTAACACAAGATTCCACAATGTTCCTTCGGAATGGATACACGTTTTCAGCAAAGTGCAATTTAGTCTGTTTTGTTTCAATGTAATGCGTTACAATGGCATTTAAAATTTTCTGTTTGAAGAATGTAGATTATGGTTTACAGTTGGATGATTTGTATGTGGGGAAAATACGAATATCATTTAATCTAAATTCCTTATAAGGAACTAGCTATGAACAATTTGTTTCACATCCGCTTGAACACTATTTTAATAATCATCCTTATGTTGCAGGTGAGTGATTTGGCGTCTACTTGCGACGAGATCTACATCGATGGGTGAGTGGGCTACTCATTATGCGATTTTGAGACATATGTATGTTGACAGCCATTCTCGCTTATTACTCATCTCGCCGTTCTCACCTGTTGTATCTCTTGAGCAGTGGGTAATGAAGATTCTTACCATGTTCTTACAATGTACGAAAATTGCGAGGAATTTGAGCTTTACATCCACGGAGAAAAAGAAGGTTTTGCACAAGAAACATCATCTCCTCCTAATCCTTATAATAATAAACCATTTCGAAGATGTCCAACAAAAATATCAATTGTATAATTTGAAAGGTTTAATACAAGGTAACCGTTCCCAATTTTATATTTTGGATAACAATTCATTCACAAGATCTCTATTCCAAGTTTTCAAACAAATACTAATCAACTAACATTCAAAATGAATCACGATCCGCTTCTAAACACTTTCTCAAATTAACTTTGAAAAATCACTATCCCTTGCAATTGTGTTCACCATTTAATGGAAGTACTATTAATACGTCGAAAGTTTATCAAAGATTCCGTCTGCCCGCCTCTTTAAACAGCTGTAAGGCCTGAACTATTCTTAGAATATTTTTCTGTTATTCTGGTATTGCATCTTTTCCTGCTACTACAATATCGGTAAATGTGTAAATATTATTCGCATATTAAATCTAGATTCTAAAGACCCCCTCCTTCATCCGTCTTAATTAGCTAACTACGAATTGTATCTCTGACTATAATTTTATTTTTCAATGAAATATCACTTGTTATGAATGACCCTTTCTGGTTAACCTTAGTTTATGTATCTTACGTATTACAAACTTTATTATGGAAATCTTTTTTTATATTCGAAATTTGAATTTGTGTTTTGTTTATTTGCATGACCGTGTATGTATAGCACATGTGTCTCTTGAAAAGTATTAAAGAATGTCAGTAGTAGTTTTTAAATTAATATTTCATAAAATATAACTTGTAATAGTTTTAAACAGTCAATGTTATTGTTCTTAGGCGTATATTTGCGAATGATTTGATAATATAAATTCTAAATCAGCCAAAGAACGGATTTCAATGTGAGCAATATTCCAATAGCAACCAACATCAAAGGAACCAACATGCGACCACAGTTGATTTTACATTTCGCTAAGCAGCATAGCTCTATAGTAATGAATTCATATAGAATTTTGAGACATTGTATTTCAGAATGTACGTCGCATAGAAGTTATATTCCATCCGCCAGGTGTGATGAAGTAATGGAGAAGTACTCTACAAATATATATTTGTTTTTGTGTAAATCAAAGAAAACGAGTGTCTCTCACTTGTTCTCTTTTTCATTAAAACTTTACACAAGTTTTGACGTTCAATCACTTCACGTGTCCCGCCATGTAGTATTGCGAGTTAGGCGCTCCTTGCGGTGGATACTCCAACTGTTAGCAGCGGTGTCTGGGAGCAAGCGCTAGTATCAACGCGTGAAGTTTCAATGTTCGCCACTAGGTTGCAGTTCCGTCTCCATTCATGATCAGTCTTGCCGACCTGGATCAGGTAGATACGCGTAGTTGCTGACAGTCTTCTAGGATTTTTCAATTTATATCACTAAGTTACGAAAGGGGACCAGGCAAATAAAAGTTGGTAAATCGCAAAAAATTACTTGTATTGCAAATTAAAAATATTTATATTTTTTACTTTTTCGTCTTACTTCATAAGAAGAGAAAGTATTGTAATGGTTTGCCGGAAGACGATTTTTCAACAGAAAATTTCCTTAATAAAATGTATATTTTTTCCTTTTATCAAATATGTTGTTCAAATTCAAATATTGAAATAAGATCACGTCCAATTTTTCGAAAATATGAGTAGTTTTCGCTTAATATTACGTGAAAAGTAGGCAATATTTAAATATTTTTTTTTCAAAAACTGCTTTAAATTTTTCTTTAAATTTACTCCTCGTATCTACCAAAGGATGGGAAAAAAGATACGCTAGTCCCATTTTTGGCGAACTCTGTATTTTTGATAATCGCAAAATGTTACACTGCAAAAACTACATATTTGAAGATAGAGATTTTACCTTAAACAAGTCTGTTCTAAGAAATCAGATCTTTAAAAACGGTCATGTACAGTTGTTTGAAAAGAAGAAAAGAAAATAGAAAGAAAAAGAAAAAGGAAAAAAAAAGAAAAAAATTAACTAGTAGTTTTCGTGCAGTTTCTGCTTGAAGTGGATTTTTTTAAAGTATATTTTCTTAAAACCACTCTAAAATCTCTTTTTTTCTCAAATTTTTCTTCCGATAGAGCAAGGGGCACTTAAACTAATGGCGTAGGTCTCATTTTCGCTGAAGTCTCTCAATTTTCGAAAATTGCAAAAGTTAGTAATTATGAATGGTTTGTAGGACTGCTAGTGTATCTTCTGCACCTTTCCTACATTATTCAGCTTATTAATGAAGTAAGCGAGATGCCACGAAAGCTTTTCGTAGTCTTGGTCTCATGTGCAAATCGAAGACTAATTTATATTGTTTCCTTATTCACTTGTGTGACTCCTTGCAGTGTTACTCTATTTGAATTTGTTGTTAGTTTTCTTGCGCCTTTTTCTCATATGTGACTTGTCTTGAGGAAAAAATCCAAATTTTAAAAGTACGTGTTTAGATACTGCCATTATTTTATTGTACATGTCTCATGATTTTAGGATACATTGCAAGTGTTCGAAGACGCCTATTATAAATAGTGTGTGAATTAATTGGAATTTTCTGGTTATCTGGTGTAGAGATGAATGCTTTTCATCTTCATTGATAAATTTAAATTAGAATTAAAATAGGTTGAATAGAAATTACAAGGCACGCTTTTATCAGAATTTATAAAATGTAATTTATACCGTCCTGGTTTGCCCTTAATCAATTCATTTTTTCTTCCAATCGTTTTCATTTTTTTTCTCAATAACTCCCCATAATAATCCATCATTCTTCCACCTTAATATTTGTATGTTTATGTAGGTACTGCTCTACATCACTACGTATACAAAGTAAATATTATTTTCCTTTCCTACCTTTTTCGTTTCTAATTCTCGTAACCACGTGCGACCGCAGTGCGGAAGCCCAGAGGGCATTTGGCTGCGTCCCAAATACACACACACACACACACGGGCGCACACTGCTTCGCTTCTCCAGCAAGGCGGAAGGGAAGGTGCTTTGTCTTTGCAGTGGGAGTAGGCCTGGGTAATTACTTGAATGCGTTCCCAGACCACTGCTCCTCTTTCTGCAAAAGCTCCTGTTTTGCGATTTGAAGAGGACTTAACAAAAATTAATTATTTTTATATTGAATATAGTGAAGTAGTTGTTTTTTGCACGATAGAGATCGTCGCAATTGGGCAAAAACAATAATTTCTCTCACAAAATTCATACGTTTTTTGGCTTATAATATATACAGTTTTACGATCGAATGAAAATGATTCTCTTACAAATTACTAGTGTAAACCCGTCTTTTAGTGGAGAGTTCTGTAAGTTACTGGCCTCACTAAGTTCTATTTTCGATTCAAAGAAAAAAACCTAACTCTTCAACTTAATCTTCCGATAATCCAACCCACTTTCGATATCTGCATAATAACATTTCTAGGCCTTTGAAAAAATACTCTGAATTTTTGTTTGAAAAATGGTCAGAAACGGCTCTTCTCACATCACTCTGGAACCACTGTTCCTCGAAGGCTTTTCATCAGATTTGCGAACTGGCAGGTTCATCGGAAGACTAGTCGAAAGAAATCTCTTCATTTTTTTTATTATTACTTTTTTTTAAAAATATGTTCTTGACTTTTGCTGCGGCCGTTTGTTCCGCTTCAGAATCAGTTTTCCTCATTTTTTTCTTGTCACACATATTGCAATTTTCTTATGTTGAATGGACTGTCAAAATAAAATTCGAAAATGACGTGTCATAAAAAAACATTTGGGGCTATGTCATGCACTTTTGTACGCCGTTTCCTACCATGATCTCGTAGCATATTTTCAACATACGCTCAAAACTTTCTTGAAATCAGGTTTTGCTATAATGTAAATATTGCTAAAGCAATGTAAATTTTTATGGTTTAAGCGCCATTACTTTATGCAAAAGGCTTTCCTCTTATCTCTAAAGCAAAATCTGTCAAAAATAGTAAGGAAAATCTGCAAAACAAAACTTTTATAATATAAAGCGCATCGTGAAAGATATACCAACGATCTCTCTGACGAGTTTACAGAAACGGCCGAATGGCTTCAATACAAATCAGACTCCTTTATCTACAAAACATAACTGAAAAATGAAGTGTGCGGCTTTGTCTCGCTGTACGGCGTAACCCCATATTCCCCTTTATACTGCTATGAAGGTTTACCCATATCAGCGTTATCTTGGTCAGGCCGAAAACTTAGAGAACCAGAAATGTATTTGAGCCTTGGGTCACCCCGATTTTCCGTGATCCCTTCTATCCATCTTCTGACTTTTTGTACTTTTTTAAACATCTTGCATAATCTGTCGTTCGGGCGCTGAATTTCTTGTAGACTGTTTTAGACAAGTACATTAAATACAAAAGTATTCTACGTGATTCCGACCGTGAAAGCCTACGATACTATATTCTTAGGTGAATCGTACATCAGGAATTATTATAATTAGTGTGTGTAATTTATAAATTTCCTTTCATACCAAACTTGAAAGAATGTCACCCTTATTTTGGTTCTCTGATCGGCTCGCAGGTTCACACTCCAAAAGGCAAGACAGGAGACCTTTGAAAGCTTGTTGCACCACTTAGGTGAGTTTTAAAATACCTTACTGGGTTCGCATCCTGCAATTTCTGCTTCGTAAATTCTCGTACACCACAATTTATCTTACGAACCACTGGGTACAGATAGATTAAGGAGTTATAAAATATGTCAGCAATGCTTGAAAATTGGTGTGCAACCTTTTGATTTGTAATGAAGAAAAGTTTAAAATGTTGATAAAAGGTTGATACCAAGATACATCAATGCCATAAGAAAACTATGAGATGCCAAAGATGAACCAAAAACAAGCATAATTTTCAAGTTTTGTAATAATAAGAATTTTTAATTTTGTTTACAACTGATCAGACTAGATGATCAATTCAAGGTCATTTCATACTAGGAAAATAAAACATTTTTTCAAAAATATAATTTATTCTGATATGCTTTTATTTCTTATAAAATATAAGGAAGTGTAAAAATCATGTATGAAAAATAATAACGTTAAAATTTTATTTTACTGAATGTCATTAATTACTATGAAACCAACCCTTTTAAAATACTACAGAAGTCAAAATGTATTTCATACAACAGTCTGGAATATTATACAACAAAGAGAGCTGAAGATCGGAGAGCCGTCTTGCAAAGCTTCTTGGAATTGACAACCAAGATATTACGATGGCCAGCGATGCATCAGGCCTGACAGCCCGGTGTCGTGCCTCGGATTAATTCAGATTTCGAATTGTATTAGCAAACGATTGAGGTAAAACAACAGCTTTCAAAGAGTTTATGAAGGAGTATTAAATGTTATTTGTAGAAGAAAATGCTGCAGGACGGTACATATTCTGAAAATAAAATTTCAGTTTAATGGTAGAAAATCTGAACAGTCATGTAATGCGTTTGTAACTTATTATGAAATAACATTATTGTAAATTTATGGACAGGATACAATAAACGACTAACAGACAGATAGGTGTGTTCAAACTCAAATAAAATGCTTTGAACAGATTTATCATCAGTTAATATAAAAAATATTTTAATTCAAGACGTGTTAGTAATGTAAAAGGGTGCTTCTTTTCAACATACCTGCTATTGACGTCTTGATTTATGCCTCAAGTAATACAGAAACCGTTGGAAGTCAACGTGTATTATTTCTTTCAAGATACGAGTAATATTCTCCCATCGGCCTACAAGAAACACTATTAGTTTGTACAATTTAACGATGCCCGGCCCGGATACCCCAGAGGCTGAACGCCCCTCTTTATCACCAACGTGTAAACAATCTTATTTCGGAGGACGTTCTCGAAGAGGCCGCTATTGGTAGCACATCCATAAAAGATGCAGGGGGAAGTTGTTTTCGCGCCACGTGCGACCAGATCGCGTGTCGCCTGGCGACACGCTCCCTCCCCCCCCCCGTCACCCGCCCTCCGCCCCGCCAAGCCGCTCCGTGCCACCTCACACCACTCCGCCTCCCCCTTCGCTCCGCTCCGCCTCGCTCCCTGTTCGGACCCTTCCCGCCCGCTATTCACCGCCGCCTCCACCCGCTCCGCCTTCGCTCGTCCTCCTCCCGGCTCCCCGCCAAGTCAGCTCGCTCCACTCCGCCTGGCAAACTCTCCTCGCCCGTTCCCTAACCCCGGCCCTGCAAGCACTGTGTCGTCTCCTCGCACCCGTTCTTCCTCGCACCCACCCTCTATCGGTTCTACCTTCTTGCTCTCACTGGCTCTCCTCGCCTGATCATCTACTTTCCACGCCCCCATCCACCCTCCACGACCACCCACTCTACACATCTCTGTTTACCTAACGTCCACACTCACCCAACCTTCAAACACTGTCTACCTTTTTACCCACCCTCTTCACTAGATTCTAATCCGTCGCCCCGTCACACTCTCCACGCCTCGATGCATCCTGCCCCGCCCACACACCACGCCACACCCATCGTCGTCACCCGTCCCCACGTTCCACCCGTTCCACGCCTCACCCACCCTTCACACACCGTCGACCTTTTACGTCTCGTGCCCCGTTCACCCTCTTCTCTCGGTTCTGCTCCCTCGTTCTGACAACCTCTCCACCCTCTTCCACCATGCCCCTCCACGCTTCGACACACTATCCATACTCCTCCCACACTTCACGCCTCGCTCACCCACTTATTCTCCTCTCACCCACCCCCCATCGTTGCCTCATCTTTCGTCGTCGCCCCACCTTACCCTCCTTTCCCCGCCACGCCTCACTCCGCCCTACCCGTCGCTTCCCCGCTGTACACCAGTCCCCTGACCATTTCTTGAGCCTTCTTCGCCCTCACTCGTCTCGTTTTGAATTTGCAAACGAGAACTCACAACTGCGGATTTCTATTTATAAGACCAGATATATACCATTTCTTTTGATGAACTATTCCCAGGTTTCAGGGAACTCTCGCGCATACATGGTTGCTTTGGAGGTGTCACTTCTGGGAAACAGTCACTATTGTTGTTCAAATTTTGATGTGAGGTGAAGACCTTTCTCAAGTGTACACAAATCAAGAAAATTACATTGTTATTATTTAATAAAAAATACATAATTTTGCCTAAAACATCAGCAAACAATGAATGGAATAATATTACATGTAGTATTGTTTAATTATATATTGAGTTTCATTTGTTATGTTGTGTTAGTAATTTTTGTATTAATTGGTGTGGCTTTTTAAACTGTATTGGAGCGTAAGATTTAGATTATATTCAGATTCGAAAAGGTCCAAATAAAGTAGGTATTATAGGGACTCCTCAGCCTTTTGCTGATGCTATTAAGTTATTTTGTAAGGAACAAACTTATCCTATAATGTCTTTTTTTTTTGGTCCAGTAGTCAGATTATTCAGTCAGATCAGTCTCTTTTGGTTTGAGTAATTTATCCTTTAGGATATGAATTGGTTTCATTTGATTTGGCATTATTGATCGTTTTTGTTGTTGTTGTACTAGTATAGGTGTATATTCTGTAATATTAGCTGGTTAATCATCTAATTCTAATTATGCCTTGTTAGATGATTTGACTATTTCTTATGAAGTTAGTATAGCGTTGATTTTTATTAAGATTTATTATTTTGGTCTGTGGTTTTGCAATCAATCTATTTTATATTTATCAGTTGTATGTTTGTTTTTGTTTTCTTTCTTAATTTTGCGCTCCGCACGCAGGTAAAGGAAGCGAAACTGGAGCAGAGTCTGCGCGCCGGCACCATCCTACATAAATAGTTTGAAGAATTCTACAATTAAGGAATTTAAATATCATGGCCCTTTGATTGCTCATGAATCTGAAATGTTATTGAATAAGGTGGGTTGTTTACTTTGCACAAATCGAAGGAATCGTTGTCAGGTTTGAGTGTTAAAAACGGTATTTTTTTCATGTCGACATGAGATCCAAAGAGTTGTATATTTTTCTTAATATCATTTCATTTATATATGATCACCAGGGCTCGGATGCTGATGAATTAAAAAGTCTTTAAAAATGACCTAAAAATGACTTAATGGAAAAGTGACCTAATTTTTAAAAAAATATTCAAAAATTTGTTGAAAATGTTTATTCATTTAATGAATTTTGCAATATGAAATAATATGTATTTATATAATATGATATTTAATGAATAGTTATTTTTGTGGCAAGGTCGAAAAATGAATGATTTTGGATGAGGTGCTCCGCCTCAGTTGGTAAAGTAAATCAAAATTCCAAAATCATTCAATTTCGGCAACATCCAACTATTTTCCGTATACGCACCTCCCAATTTGAGGTTTGAATTATACAGAGATCTCATTTATACCGTGCGGTTTCGCCGAATATAAGCAATGGTCTTCTACATCATCGTCTCTGTAGTTGTCAGTATTGTCACAATTGTTAAAGCGTGTAAAATTTGATGTTGCTGGTTTGGGCGATTTATTTTGTAAGTATGGAGTGCGGTATTCCATATGTTATAATTGAGGAAGCTGAAGCCGCTACTGAGAGTTTACTTCCTCAAAAATCAAAGGATTCATACGATAGAGAGTAGCAACTCTTTTTTAAAATGAAAAAGAGAGAAACATGTAACCGTGGTAAATGAAACAACTTTGCTGGCATATCTCTACGAAAAGGTATTACTTCAATTTCTGTTGAAACTCCTAGCACGTGTGCTCAATGCACGGAAGATGCAACAGTGCCAGGAATAATATTTCAGAACGTATCAAATTGTGTTTTTAATTTAAATGTTAACAATAAATAAGTTAAAAATATTCTGAATTCGCAATATAATAAATATTCTTTGCCAATGGGTCAACAGTCATTTGTACATTGTCTTGTTTACTTGATGTTGCCTCTAAAATTCATTCTTGGTCAAACATCTCTTTTGTGGCGTATAAATGCTCTGCCAAATTCAAGGTTTGAAGTGATGATACGACAAAACGAATTTATTTAGGAGGTAATTCAAACCTTAGCTCCGATCGCTTAACTGTCAGTTTTGAAAGATCGAGGGGTTATCCAAGTTCCGTGTAATTTTGAGAGTTCGAAAAGCAGAGTCCACCGCAGTAAAGAAATTCGTCATGAAGAATTTTGTTTTAGTGTGTCATTGTAAATTAATTGTAAAAGCATCCATTAACGAAAAGCATGAAAAGGAAACATAATGCTTAAAAAATACGAAAAGGTCGCAAAGGTTCAAAAAATGACCTAAATATTGCAAAATGGCACAAAATGGCATGTCATCAGAATTTGAGGCCATGATAATCATAAGGCTACGATACCAGGAGACGATTGAGAAAGTTATCGGAAAGAAGGTATTCAAACTAACCGAAATTTTGGAATGAATGCGCTTTCACTGATATTCCAATAAAACTTATTATGTTAATGATATTTGTTAAGAACTAATAATCATAATGCTTAATTTGTCTGATGAATTGCCAGAAAATGAATCAAAGGTATGAAAGATTGAAGGGTTGAAAGTCATTAGAAGTATTGAGGAATCATTCATTTACCTAGCAAGGTACATTGGTAAGAAGATAATGTTAATGCTGATTACAATTATGTCCAGATGTTTCATAATGAATTCTATGCAATGAACGTCGT